ATGTTCCATAATGTGGTGGCAGTGGCAGAAAAAGCTGTCTTCCTAGAGCCCTCCAGTTGAAATTTTTTGACTGATGGGATCTGCGGCATACCTTTCCTGCCTGATCGAACATGACAGACTCTTGTGATGGGATGAAGTTGCTTTCATAAGTAGCCTGGATCCATGCTTTATAGGGCTTTATAGAGCTATTATATGTTATAGCATAGAGTTGTGAAAACTGTTTCATCAGAAAGACTGGTCTTTTTAAATATGAATTTTAGTTGTGGAGAAAATTGCTGAGAATACTTTGGACTGCAAACAGGACACGTAATACTAGATAAGGTAAAATCAGACTGATCAATGGAGCACTGACAATGAAGCTAAAGCTTTAGTACTTTGAACATATAATAAAAAAGCAGGGATCATTTCCCACATGCTTGGAAAAATCAAAGGCAATCAAAACAAGATCAAAAGAAGACAAATGGGCTAGATGTAATCACTACACTGATGACACAAGCATGAGCTTAACACAAGCATGAGTTCAAAGAAGCAGTTACTGACAGACTATCCTTGCATAATACTGTTTGTCAAGTTCACAAACACTCAGAAGTGATTGAATAACAGTAAGATCCAATATGCAAAAGAGCTTACTCCAAACCCCTTGAGATCAGTGAGATTTATTCCCATGTAAGAGTGTTAGGATGAGTATCTGCATGAAATGTTGAACATAATGAGTCTTTGGGGTAGAATATTATCCTCAAGTGGATATCATTAGAAGCTTATGACCATAATATTAACTCTAAATAAAAATGAGACGAAAACCAAGGTACAAAATAGGAAAAAAAAATACAAAGCTAATTTTTCCTAATAAGATATTTTCTAGAGAGCTAATTTCCAAGTTCTCTTTTTCTTTTGATTGCTCCATATGGATTTGAAATTATTAGCATCTGATATATACAGAAATAATTTCTTTTCCAAAAAAATTGCTGTAATATTAATTATCTTCACAGAAACAACAGCTAAGTCAATTAAGACTGTATTTGCAAAGTTTCATTGAAGCCCAGTTCTAAACAGGTTAATTTGATAATTGTTTTTATAAACCAGGATATATGCTGTTTTATATATTGATTATGCTGTACACCGCCCAGAGCCCCTCCTTGAGGTTGATGAGCAATCTAGAAACAAAATATATGTTTGTTTGTGTGTGTATGTGTCATTTATGTAGGCTTATATAGTGCAAATAATGTATAATCTGGACAATTCTCTTTAGATTTATGCAAAAGTAGATGTGAATATCATTGTTCTGAAAGGTAAATTAGCTCATGAGTGCAATTGCAGAGGTAAAAACCTGACTAAATGTCCTTATCTACAGTTAAGGTGTATCTTTTTTCCTGATAAATATTCATAATGATTTCAGCTTTAATTAATTCAAATCCTATCTATCATGACTGAGATTGTCCAGCCAACATTTTGTGGATAATACTTATGTTTAAGACATTCCACTGGGAATGTATTTTAGACTGTTAGAGAATTGCATTCTGAATAAAACAGAGCCCGATATCTTGTATTTAAATTCTAATGTACACAGAGTGTTTAAAATTCAGAAGATTCGCTTTATCATTAAAGATGCCTCCCTTCGTTTTCAGGATTTCTCTTTAAAAACATGAGTACCTTAAAATTATGACATTGCTATTAGATGAATATAACAGATGAATATAAACAGTATTTTGATGAAGCAGTTGAGAAAGTTTTAAATGCACATGTTAAATTACCTGAGGAACATTATACTGTGTTATTTATTGATTGATTTATTTTATATATTACTTCTCATTTAAAACTTCTCAATGGTACTTTACAGTACGGTATGATATAGTAATGTACAATATTTGTTACTGGGTACTGTATATACTTGTGGATAAACTGACTCAAAATTTTTGTAAGTTTTTTTTTTTTACAATTGGCTTGTCTGAGGATGGTGGGTCAGGGCAATTCCATAGAGCATGTCTACATTGCTTTGCATGCATGTCTTTATTTTTTTTCACTCCTGATGAACTAGTGTTTGCTGTGTGTGTGTGTGTGTGTGTGTGTGTGAGAGAGAGAGAGAGAGAGAGAGGTATGTATGTATGTATAAAATCTTTCTAATTTGTGTTTATGAGAGGCTTGTAGAAAAATTCCAAAACGGTGCTGTTTGAAAGAACTAAGTGAGCTCAGTTAATCAGTGATGAATAAGAGAGGATCAGAAATGAAATAAAGTCAGCCTTAATCTGCTTGCACTGCTCTGGTTTTAGTCAGTTATACTTATATTTGGGTAAACCTCTTTGCCCAAGTTCCTATCATGTTCCTTTCCCCAGTTCCTGCCCCACCTAGCAGTTCAAAAGCATGCAAATGTAAGTAGATTAATAGGTATCACTTCAGTGGGAAGGTAACAGTGTTCCTTGCACCTTTGGCATATAGCAGTGATAGCGAACCTATGTCACGCGTGCCAGAGGTGGCACTCAGAGCCTTCTCTGTGGGCACACCTGCCACCACCAACTCGTGCAGGTCCATTAGGCCACCGCTGGTGCCCGGAGCGGCAGCCTCACTCAGCACAAAGGAGGCAAAGCAGCTGGCTAGCAAACTTGAGTAGAGATGGTAGAGCACGCCCCCATGCGCTCGCTGGCCTCTGTGTGCAGGGGCTGATGGTGTCAGGCAGCAGCCGCCCCTCCCTTGCCTTGCCCCACAACAATGGCACCTGTGCCGTACCCCCTGCCTCACCCTACAGAATGAGCCTCCTGCCCACCACCCCACCCACTAGAGACCCCCTGGATCTCCCCCAATCCTGCCCAGCCCCCACAGGCATCCCCCCATGAGCAACATCAAGGTGGCCGCACCCACCCCAGCCATGCTCACTCAATATGCTGTGACCACTGCAGCCATGCCCACCCAGTGGGCCACCCCTACCCCCCGAGGGCACCACAATGCTGATGTGGCCCTGGCACTTCGTGATAAATAAGTGGGTTTTGGGTTGCGGTTTGGGCACTCGGTCTCTAAAAGGTTCGCCATCACTGGCATATAGCCAGGCCAGATGATCGTGGAAAATATCCTTGGACAACGCTGGCTCCCTTGGCCAAGAAATGGAGATGAGCACCACACCCTGGACAGGGAAACTTTTATCTTTACTTTTACTCATATTTACAACCTGCATTACCTTCTAATCATGTTTTGGGTGTTATTTAAAAGATACTTCATTATCTGATTGTAAAAAGGGTTGTCCAGGAACTAACATCTCCTGTTTAATTCCAAGCCACTAAGATGTATTTTTTCATTCAAAAGAAAGGTATTCAACTCCTCCTGGCAGTTTCTCTGCTCAAAAGATATCCATCTCTATTCACAAAAGCATTTTTAATTGAAAAACAGCTGGAGGGAAAGAGTTAAGATATTCCCCCAAAGCGGTCAACTACTATAAACGGAATCCTCTGCAGCAGCATTTGGTGAGAAAGGAAGGAGTCAGAATAAAACAATGTGCACAATACAAATAAATTACATTTCCCTCAGTTAGGACGAGGCATTTACAGATTGTTTTTTTCTAAATGAATTAATATCCAGTAGTATTTGAAATGGGAGGTTTGTGAAAACTTGCAGCAAATCCAACAGAAAAACAGAACAAAAATCACATTGGTTTTATTATGAATATACAACTGTTTGTATAGCTTCTCTATATTTGCAAAACGTTTCATATTAAATTAACATAGTAACTCAGGGTTCTATATTTAAATGTATTTCTCACACCATTTGATTTTTACTGACAAGAACAATAAAATGTAATGGTCCAACAAGTGCCTTTCTGAGTTAGATTACAGCTTCAGTTTGGATATACGATACTAAATACAACATAATAATTAGGAAAACATTTTAAAGATTATGATGATGATGAATATTATTATTATATGTTAATACTTCCATAAAGCCAAATGGCTCAGGTTTACTTCTCTCCAATAGTCTTAAAAACAACAAAAAGCTGACATGATGAATTGCAGAAAAAGTTGTTATTTGATCTTCAAACCTATATCTAATAACTCATAAGTTATTAACATTTCAGTTTGAAAATGTGACTGAAGAAAACTTAGTTTCTTGCTTCTTCATCTAATTATAGCTCTGTAAGGTATAAACAAACTAAGCTTAAGTTTAATTTAAACCCATTTATCAAATGAAACTTTTCATGTTATGTTCAGAAAGCATGATTCTAATCTTTTTCTCTATTATATTTTTGAAAATGCTCCAATACCCCTTGTCACGGATTTAGTAGCAGATGCTTGTGGAAAGGAACCTATTCCAAAAAATATTCAGCACTGAGGGGAAGGATAAAGGGAGAATGTTTTTGTTCTACACAGAAAAGAAATATGTAGTATTAAGTGCTCTGTTAATGTATAAAACTAATTTTTAGGTAGATGTATGGGTGCTAAAGGATAATCTTACTTTTATACAAACAATTAGTCCATGTTAGATTTCTATTTGCTGCATTTTTTTTAGATTACAATTGTATCCTATGCTGCAGTATGTGATAATTATATTGTATATGCACAGAGATGTAAATTGTCTGAATTATCTGAGAGTAAGCCCTAATTAACTCAATGAGAATTACTTCTGAAAAAAGATATATAATTGTATTGTTAATGACTTTCTGTATTGTTTGACCACATCTAAAACTGACTCTAGTATACTCCTTAAGAATTTGTCTGAAAATCCAGCATATATGCCCCATGTTGATATTCAGTAAATTACTGTAGGTGGAGAAATTAGAAGTGATCGTGCACATTTGAAGCATTTATATTTGCTCTTTTCAGAAACATGGATGAATCCATTAATTTGCAGAAGCAGGGACAGTAGACTTCTCTTTATGACATGCATTAATAAACATCTGCAATGGTTAAATACTAACTTTTAAGCATTTAATATGAATACATACAGTAGGCAGCTTGTGTGCAAAAAAGAGAAAAAAATTCCCTTCCTTCAAATCTTAGAAATATTATTTTGTTTCCCAGTTTGAAGGCTGCAAGAAGGCCTTTTCTAGACTAGAAAATCTGAAGATTCATTTAAGGAGCCACACTGGAGAAAAACCTTACCTTTGCCAGCATCAAGGCTGTCATAAAGCATTCAGTAATTCCAGCGACCGAGCCAAGCACCAGAGGACGCACCTGGACACTGTAAGGGAAGAATGTGATTTTAGATAATATTTTGCTATCCTGACTGATGTCTTGCAGACTTATTGTTTATTAAGTGCATATAGAATGGGGACTTACAATGGAACCACTGTAGAAGGATTGTTTGCACATGTTATTCAGGTTGTTTTGAAATTCAGTTCTTGTTATAAGAAAAGAGATCATTGTGACAGAACTTTCTTTTTATAAGTCTAAGAGGCTCAGGCTGCCTACTATATACAACATTTTTATACTGTAAGTTGCAGATTAGTTTTGTTGTGATATAGGGCAATGTTCTCCAGTTCGCTCACCCATTTCTCTTTCACAAATCCATCAGCCTATAAACAAAGCTTTCCATATATCACATTAAGGTAGCCTTTCTCAACCTTCCCCCCCCCCCTTGAGGAACCCTTGAAATAATTTTCAGGTCACAAGAAATGTCTGCATAAAATATTATTTCTGCAGCTCATGATACATTAAACATAAAAAAGGTTTTTTCAAAATCTCTTACAGAACCCCTCACAATTTCTCACAGAAGTCTTGAGTACATGGAACCCCAGGTGAAAAAGACTGCATTAGGATATCCAGATACTCACTCCTAAAAGTTCATGGCTGCTTCAAAGCCCCACATAGGACATGTTTTGATTGCCTAAAGAGATATGCAGAAAACTTAAAGAGGAGTAGATCTGAATGAAGAAACAGAGGCTATAGTATATTACTGCATAGTTATTAAATAAATAAATGTGATATAGTGTTTTCTCTCATACATACCATGCCAGAGGTGGTGCAAAATTGAGACTGAAGACCACGGGTCCTAATATAATAATAAACCCTTTATTATCAAAGTATAACATGTATACAGTTAAATTGGCTGAGCCTCCCTCTGTGCCCCCCCCTCACCACAAACTCACAGTGACTACAACCCCCCAACTTACTTTATTATAGAAAATAATAATGCTCTTATGTTTAGGGGAAAGATAGATGGAAAATATAGATGGGCATTTACAGGCATGTAGTTCATAAAACAACAGAAGCACCCTTCTGAACCCAACTCCTTGAAACATTGAGCGCTGTGTCCTGTAGGTAGCCTGATGCTGTCACAAGGATACTCCCAATGACATTTGAACGTAAATGTGCATGCGCAGAAAGCTGTTCTGTTGAGATTATTCCTGAAGCAAAATGGAAATAGTCCTGAACAAGGGATCTTCCTTTAAGCATACACATTTATTTATTTGTTTGTTTGTATTATTTTTACAAACAACCCAAGGTGGTGAACATACTCAACATATCTTTCTCTATTTTTCCCACAACAACAACCCTGTGAGATGAGCTGGGCTGTGAGAGATTGACTGGTCCAAAGACATCCAGCTGGCTTTCATGGCTAAGGCAGGACTTGAACTCACAGTCTCCCACTTTCTAGGCTGGCACCTTAAATGCTAGACCAAACTGGCTCAAATGATGCAAGTGTAGAGAACCTTTATTAGGTCACAACACATCAACACTTCAAAAGCAGCTCTTGGAATGATTTCATACAGCTGTCATATATACTCAAAACATTTGGGAATTTCTATAATACAAGAGTATATAGGGAAACAATGAGAGTTTTTATATGTATGCTAGATTTTGAAATCCCCAAAATTATTTCAGATGCACCAAATAATTATAGCATAGCCCCCTTTTGGTTCAATCTTATTATTTGAGATGTATATTTCATGCCAAAACGTATCTGAGTATGTTGCTTCATGCTGTATCTATGAGATATACAGCTGGGAGCACATTTGCATTAGTGTTGAAATTTTCATTTGGGAACCATAACATTGGCTATTTGAATGGACCAGATTAGAGCTGGCTGTGATTTTGCTAGTGCTGCTTTTTTTTTTTTTTTTTGCAAAAGCTAAATAAATATATCTTTGTGAAAGTAATACTAGAAAGTTGCAGTAAAAAAGAAAAGGTTGAAGATATGTTTAGCTGGGCTTTGATTTAGCCTTCTGTTTTTTTTAGGCTTTAGCTGGGCTTTTTGATTTTCCTTTCAGGAAAAATAGATATGCCATCAATTGCAATTACAGGAAGAAAATGTATTCTATATATTAGGTTATGAGGCATATATGCGCTGTGAGTACATACATCGGACCTAAAAAATCAACAGGCAGTGTCTGGTCCACAGGGAAAAAGCCCTGAACAACATCGTAAACCAAGGATACAGGGAATGTTACCCATGAAGACAATTGGGACGATAGAAACAACTCTTAGAAAATAAACCTTAAAATGGAGTTTCTTAAAAAACAAATAAGAAATGTTGACTTTTTCGTTCCCCCCCCCCCCCAAAGACATTGTTCATAGCCATGATGTTTTAATTAGTGCATGGATATTTCAAAAAAAGTTTTTATACTTTCTGGAAAATTGTTATATGACTTTTAATATATTTAAGCTTTAGCATGTAGCATTTGTGCTTCTTTTCTTTCTCTCCTGCCATATCCCAGACTAACCTTTCCCCTTCATTTTCTCTTTCTGAAGCAGGTTTCCTCTGTATCTCTATGTCTGGGACTTTACTACAACTTCTTTACCTCAACTTCTAAAGAAATATATTTTCTGACTAAACTAAAGTTTTATATGAGGGATGCATAATTGTAAGTACAAGTAGAGATGGCAGAGAATTTATTTGATCAATATGTAAAATGCATGTCCACAGGGTATGGTTATAAAAGCTATAATGATGGATGCCACAGTGCAATTGAAACTCTACCTGGCTTTTATATGCATTGGACACGACTCCCATAAAACAGGTCAAATTTCAGTCACATTGTTGGCGGTTGCCAATGAGATAACCATTCTGACAACCACTTTTTTGATCAGAACTAAAGACCCTGCTGAATGTAAAATAAGTCCTCTGCCTTTTTTCCACTGATGGCATATTTATTCCACTGGTACATGGTCCTATAGAAGGTTTATCCTTACTCAACCATATTGAACTTTGTTTATATATATAAATTCTACATAATAACCCAGCTCAAAATTTTTACTCATCCATTTCCCCAAAATGCAAGCATGATTATATGAGCCATAGTAGTATAGTGGTTAGAATGCAGTATTGCAGGCTGACCAGCTAAAGGCTGACTCAGCCTTCCATCCTTCCGAAGTCGGTAAAATGAGAACCCAAATTATTGGGGGCAATATGTTGACTCTGTAACCTGCTTAGAGAGGTCTGTAAAGCACTATGAAGTGATATGTAAGTGCTATTGCTATTGCTTAGAAGTTAAGCACTTTCAATAATCCCATATTCTGTAGGCTTCCTGGAAATCATCAGGAATAAAACCCTTGGACTTGGAGCTGTAGCTATGAAATCTTTCATGGGATTTGGAACATTTTTCAATTGGTGCAGAATTTAGCTGCACATATAGCTAGACAATCCATTTTTGGAGACTCTTGTCCCAAGAGATGAATCAGCATGTGTAATGTTAGGACTGTGGGTTTTCCATAGTGAAGGAATATGTGAATAAAAGTTTTGAATTGAGCTTTCATTGAGGGAAAAAAGTATTTGATCCCTGCTGATTTTGTACTTTTGCCCACTGACAGAGAAATGATCAGTCTATAATTTTAATGGTAGGTTTATTTTAACAGTGAGAGACAGAATAACAAAAAAAACAACAACAGAAAAACACATTTCAAAAAAGTTATAAATTGATTTGCATTTTAATGAGTGAAATAAGTATTTGATCCCCTACCAATTAGCAAGATTTCTGGCTCCCAGATGTCTTTTATACAGGTAATGAGCTGAGATTAGGAGCACTCTTTTAAAGTATAAAAGACATTTATCCACAGAGGCAATCAATCAATCAGATTCCAAACTCTCCACCATGGCCAAGACCAAAAAGCTGTCCAAGGATATTAGGGACAAGATTGTAGACCTATGCAAGGCTGGAATGGACTACAAGACTATCGCCAAGCAGCTTGGTGAGAAGGCGACAACAGTTGGTGCGATTATTTGCAAATGGAAGAAACGCAAAATAACTGTCAATCTCCCTTTGTCTGGGGCTCCATGCAAGATCTCACCTTGTGGAGTTTCAGTGATCATGAGAATAGTGAGGAATCAGCCCAGAATTACATGGGAGGATCTTGTCAATGATCTCAAGCAGCTGGGACTATAGTTACTAAGAAAATAATTGGTAATACACTACGCCTTGAAGGTAATACACTACTCCTTGCAGTACCCGCAAGGTCCCCCTGCTCAGGAAAGCACATGTACAGGCCCATCTGAAGTTTGCCAATGAATATCTGAGTGATTCAGAGGAGAACTGGGTGAAAGTCTTGTGGTCAGATGAGACCAAAATTGAGCTCTTTCGCATCAACTAAACTAGCCGTGTTAGAAGGAGAAATGCTGCCTGTGACCCCAAGAACACCATCCCCACCATCAAACATGGAGGTGGAAACATTATGCTTTGGGAGTGTTTTTCTGCTAAGGGGACAGGACAACTTCATAGCATCAAAGAGATGATGGATGGGGCCATGTACCATCAAATCTTGAGTGAGAAATTCCTTCCCTCAGCCAGGGCATTGAAAATGGGTCGTGGATGGGTATTTCAGCATGACAATGACCCAAAACACACAGCCAAGGCAACAAAGGAGTGGCTCAAGAAGAAGCACAGTAAGGTCCTGTAGTGGCCTAGCCAGTCTCCAGGCCTTAATACCATAGAAAATCTGTAGAGGGAGCTGAAGGTTCAAGCGGCCAATGTCAGCCTCAAAACCTTAATGACTTGGGGATGATCTGCAAAGAGGAGTGGGACAAAATCCCTCCTGAGATATGTGCAAACCTGGTGGCCAACTATAAGAAACATCTGACCTCTCTGATTGCCAACAAGGGTTTTGCCACCTAGTACTAAGTCATGTTTTGTGAAGGGGTCAAATACTTATTTCACTCATTAAAATGCAAATCAATTTATAACTTTTTTTGAAATGCGTTTTTCTGGATATTTTTGTTATTCTGTCTCTCACTGTTAAAATATAACATTAGAAATATAACATATAAAATTAAAAATGTTCATTCTCTTTCATTCTAGCTATCTTTTTCTGTGCCAGAATCTTCATGGTCTTTCTTTTTCTGGTTTTATGAATGATATTTGCAATATTTCCATTTCAAAACGTACAACCTTGTAACTTGTTATTTCTTTTCATTTTTTAGAAACCTTATGCTTGTCAGATTCCTGGCTGCACCAAACGATACACAGATCCAAGTTCTCTAAGAAAACATGTAAAGGCCCATTCTTCTAAAGATTTGCAGGCCAGAAAAAAGGTAATCTTCATAGATTTCTCTGCCAAGTGAATCATGTGCAGCTCTAAAAGTCATATGAAAAGCACCTGTAATAACATAGCCATCAACAGAAACAGTTTTCGTTTGCACACTGATAATGATGAATAGAGAACTTATATTCTAGCAGAATAGTTTCTAGCCTGCATGCGTTAGTATGTTGCAAGTGGCAAACTTTTGCATCATTTTACAATTAAAACTCCCCAAAATCTGCCATTGTCCATTTACAACTTTTCCTACTATATGTGTATATGTGTGTGTCTATATATATAAATACCTTGTATACTATTTTCTCAAATACATACATTCTTGTATGTATAATTTTTGTACTCATCTGTCCTAAAGATATACATTTTATATAATTTTTGAATATTTGAAGAGACATTGGCAGACTCCATGAATTCAGCAATTGTTTTTGCCACATCAGATTCCATCATACCATTTCATTTCAAAAGAAATCCGCAACAAATCTCTTCAACATTGGCTTCCAATTCTTTCGCATGACTATAAAACAATGCATCCCTTATGTCTAAAAAGTTATTTATTATTGCTTTAGACATGTGGTTCTGCTCTATATATTGCATATTGTTTTCCCTACAGTCTCATGTTAGTTTTTTTTTTACTATTCTGTAGCCTCTCAGTCCATCAAAGAATGAAATGGGATGGGATAGAAGACTCAGTTTAGCTTAAATTATTTATGATAATGTGACTTCATTCTTGTTTTGCTTTTGCGTTCTTTTAATCTTTTAGCTGACATTCAGAATATATTTGCTGAACAAAAAGAAAAGAGGATTCATGTTAGTGATCAAAAGAGCGTGAAAATATTTTGGAAGCTATAATGTGTAATATTAATGTTACAGTATACTTAACGAAGTCTTAAAAATGACATTTACTTCATGCTTCATTCTTTGAAATATTTTCTTGTATAATAAAAAAAATGCAAGGAATAATGAAAGTCAGAATAAAAGTTATTTATGTCTTCAATTAAAGAACAAAATTGACTTAATGAAAAAAGTTTTTTTTTTTTTACAAAAATGGGAATTCATCAAAAAATAACCATAAAAATTCCAAGGTGATAAAAAGCTCAAAGAAGTAATAGATCCAGCCCTAGGGAACCATTCAGCTGAACAGAATGAGATCCTTTGCTGTTACACCCAGTTAGTCATGGATTTGTTTAATATAGCCTGCTTGACTGCCTCTAATCCGCTTTCTTAACCTTCCCTTTGCCCATAAAATGACATTATTTTCTCTCTTAAGATATAACTTGTCCTTCAAAATGCCATGAACATATTAGAAATTCAAGGATATATGCCAAAACCCATGTTCTTACTTCACGAAATCTTGGCAAGACCTTAATGATAAAACATGGCTATAGATTCCAGTGCAGCTGATTTTCAGTAATTGTGTCAGCATGTGGTTACGCTGATATTGCCAGTATCCTAGTGAATCATTATAGCATTTTGCTTTTCCTTCTGGGAATTCAGTTGAGCCTTTAGTAGAAATGTAGAATGAACACCACATACCATGCATAGTTAGCACTAGTACAATGAATGCATACCATATCCAAGGAGATTATAGGAAAGCTAGTGAACTTTGTTTTTGCAGGTAATGTGTCTTCCCTATGGATGCATCTAACAGCCTTTTCAGTAGGGTTAATCATTTACTCCAGTTTTATAATTAGATGCTATGAGAAAAAATAAATGATGTAAATAGGATGCAAGCTTATTTGAAGGATTGCCAGCAATTGATTTTTCCTTGGTCAGCATCGTGTCTATGTCTGTTGGTCTGGTTAAAAGCATCAGCATTGCATTCTCTTTTGTAGTGTATTGTGATCTTGCACTAATGGGGGGCAGCTTGTGGCATGCACTGCAAATGCCTATATTCTTCATCTCAGGCGAACCTGATTCTAATGGATCTTGTACAAGATAACCCGCAACCTGAATCCAGGTCTGTAGAAGATAAAAATTTGCCCTCCAACAGTGGCACTATTATTATAGTCAATGTTTAGATTCATATATTTCCTAAAGGAGTATAAGGTGATTTGTTTGTATGTGGATCTTCCTTTATTTTATTGCCTGAACAACTGCATGAGACAGATTGAGCGGAGAGAGAATGACTGGCCTAAAGCTTTCATGATTAAGGGTGGGAGAAGAATTGAGTCTCCCAGTTCTACACTGCCTGGATGGATGAAAGTGAAGCTAGGGAAATTGTTTTGCAAAGAACTTGAAAGGTTTGAGGAAGATAGCATTTTATAATTACCTGAAGGAGTGACATACAGAATGAAGCCAACAAGCTGCTGTTCTCTGTCATCAAAGCGCAGGTCGTACAACAGTGGCCTTAAGTTAAGATTCTTAACAACAAAGGCATTTTCTTGACGTGGAACCAAATTCCAAAGGAGATGGCCAATACTCCTCCACTTGATGTGAAGAAGGCATTGAGCAACAATTGATCCTATGGCCTCAATGACCTTTTCCAGCTCCATGATAACAAAGATTTATCATAACCTTGCTAATATCAGATATACCTGCTTGATGCAACTGATACAGAGAAGCAATTGACTGCATACAGAGAGAGAGAGAGAGAGAGAGAGAGAGAGAGAGAGAGAGAGAGAGAGAGAGAGAGAGAGAGAGAGAGAGAGAGATGAACACCTATGCATGTACACATATCTCTTTGCCTGTTTTTTTAGATCAAGAACACCAATTCAGGAGTGAAATCTCCTCCTTCCTTCTTAGGTCTGGTGCTTGTTTCAGCTCAAAGCCCTGAATCCTGAAATCTGGGCATTTTTTAATCTATCCCCTTTGCTTCATTCCACTACCTCCACAACCAAACTTAAAATAGGTGGGTATTTTTTTTTGTCATTGGTAGTTTTATCCAGCTTGAGTCAATGGAAGGTAAAATTATTTTTTTTTAAGTTCAACATGGATTAAATATTAAAAGAGAGACTTATTATCAGTTTTCATCTGTGCTGGTATAGTTCTTGATGGCATAGTGGTTTCACTATTGTTTGTAATAGCCATATAATTATTTATAATTACATAATTATAATTATTTAGAATGATGCTTCATATTTTAATTGTGATATAATTTAATCAAGTTGAAATTTATATTATTAAAATGAGGTCATCTGAATCTATGAAAATAGAACAATGCTGAATATACTGTTAATTGCAGAAACCTGTCTTTGGGGAAAAATAGGAACATTTTATGATTTTGTGGGCTCACTCACAAAATGGTTGCCCGGGTAGGTTTGAGCAATCATAAAATACTCTTATATCAAAAGGCAAACTAAATGCTGAGCTGCAGCTAGACATGTTCTGCTTTTAGCAATGCAGATTATGCCTAATGATAGTTTTTCATTTTTAATTGAAATAATGTATCATATCATATCAAATAAATAAGGTGGGGTAGAGGGCTTGCTAGGCTGGAAGGAACATTTAAAGCAGATTTTCATTCTTAGGCATTGTGTAATCTGTTTCTTCTGAGAAAGCATCCATATTTTGAAATTGTATTTGCTCCCATTCCTACTGTAAGTTATCAAATTTGTAATTTCCAATTAGTTTATATTATATCATATGTTAATTTTCTGATTCCTGTTGCTGTTTTAGGAATAGAATTCCTGGAACTTCCAGATCACTTATAAGTTTTAGTTCCCGTACATTGGGATGACATTAGAACAGAGAAAACTGCTACATCTAATTTCAAGAAAGATAAACTGCAGCTTTTTTAATATATCAACTTTATAAATTGTACTCTCTGCTCTTCAGGAAATATATCTGCCATTATCTTGTGGTGTAATAATTGTGCTTTCTATACAAATATCAGAACTCATTTCAAAGTTTGCTTTTATCAATGTTTGCTAGACAAATAAATATTAATGGTGTTAATTTTTATTTTAATGGATATTTTTAATGGTATCATTGTCTAGACTAGAGAGACCCAACAATACACCAGATTTTCCTATTTAAATTTCTATACAATTTTAAAAGAAAAAAATATTTCTGATCTGAAATGAGAGCAACATTCCTTATAAATTTAGCCATATAAAAAGACAAATAACATTAATGTTTAATTCTAACTGGTTGCAAAGATATGTCCTCCTGCTTAGATATTGAATTTATTGATATTGACATTATGAGCACCACAAGGCCCATTGCTTGCCTGTTGCTTGTAGTAGTGACATCCTGTTCTTTCACTAATGCTGAAATAAAACATAGTCCTATTTCTGCACATTAAGTAAGAGAAGAATATTCTTTACCTTGGGCAGTAAAATGCCTTGGGCCAGCCCTGGGGGTGACTCTATGAAAAAAAGGTATTTTCTAGAAACAAACCCTTCTTTTTTAGCTATTTTTCTTTCACAAAATTAGACTTCTATAGAAATATAACTTGTCAATTATTTATAACTGCACCAGCCCTCTTTCATATTACTTTTGTTTAGTAAACCATACAATCCTTTCCACTGTGCAGGAGGGGAATTAAACATAAATGAATGAACAATATGTGATTTCCCTCTCAGATTCCACTCATTGCTCACTGATTGTACAAAGCTCTGATTATTAGAGCTTGATTTAGATGATCAAATCCCAGCTTATTAAGTGGATATAACTGAAACATCATGATTCAGATGCAGCTGCTTCATTCCTCTCTCTCTGCAAGCAGTAAAACAAATGATCAGGCCACATTTAATCATGGTTTTCTGTTGCATCCATGTCACTTTCAAAAATGCTGACTGGGAATTACAGTCTCGGTACATCTGGTGATCACTAGACTGGGGAAACTCGGTCAGCAGAATCCTTTCCTTTTTTTCCCTTTTTCCTTTTTTTTTGTTAGTAAAGCCAAGCAGCCATATAAAGTATAAATAATGCAATCCAAAGCCGATCCTATCATTATTTCTCAACTATAGGGTGTTTTTTTTTTTTTTACTGATCCTTTTCCAGAAAAATAGTCACTTTTTCTTCTGTAAACTTTTTAAATATTAGCTACAAAAC